ATTTATATATATTTATATGTTTATATTTTTACATATATTTATATGTTTCCATATTTATATATTTATATATAAAGATATTAGTTTTGTATACAAATAATATTATAATATAGTATATTATACTATTAGTATAGTATACAAATAATATGTTAGTATAGTATAGTATACAAATTATTAATTTTGTAATTTATATACAATGAAAATAATATAATGGTATATTGGTATAGTATATTTGTATTCTAATTTTTAAATAAACTAAAATTACGCTAAATGTATAATAATATATGAGAGGATAATAAATTTAATCCAATTACTTTTATAAATATATAAATATAAAATCTATAAAATATTAAAAATGATATTATATTTTTTAAAAAATATTAGAAAAAGGTTTAAAAACTAGTATTATCTTAAATTTATTAAAAGTATAATTAAATCTCTATTTTCTTAAAATAAATTTTAAACTTCTCAATTCTACATTTTTGTAAATTCTATCATTATATTATCATGCTCATTATATCAAAATGTTAAATACTTTTAAATATTAAAATTAACTTTATCAAAAATTAGGAAAAAAATTAATCCAAAAGAGTTCAAAAATATATTATAATATTGTCAATTTTGAGTTTAATTATATTGTTCATTCTCAAAGTAGAAAAATATATTGTAATTATTTTAATTTAATAAAATATAATTTAAAATTTTAATACTAAAATTAAAAGATTAAATAATAATAAATTTAATTCTTTAAATTCAGTAGTTAGAAACTAAAATTATAGTTTCTCTGTTTTAAATAATTAAAATAAATATTTAAAAATAAAAATCAAAACTAGTATCATCTTAAATTATTAAAAGTGTATCAAAACTAGTATCAATTCTAATCTATTAATTGAAAAACTAATCAATTCTAATCAATAATTTAGAAAACTAATCGATTATAATTAATTATTTGAAAAAATTATCAAATATGATCGATCATTTTGAAAATATTAACCAGCTCTTAAAAGTGCACTTCTAATAGCGAGTTAACCATTAACCGCTATCTAAATTATACTTTAGATAGCGGTTATCGTCATATCTTCTCAATTATGTTTTTGAATATTATGTTTTTAAATTTGCTATTAGAGAAAATCTTTCAGAATTCAAAATGTTAAATATTTTTAAATATTAAAATTAAATTTATCAAAAATTAGGAAAAAAAAATTAATCCAAATGATTTCAAAAATGTATTATAATATGGTCAATTTTTAGTTTAATTATATTGTTCATTCTCAAAGTAAAAAAATATATTGTAACTAGTTTAATTTAATAAAATATAATTTAAACTTTTAATACTAAAATTAAAAGATTTATGTTGCATGAGGTTTCTTCACTTAAAAGATTTTGCAAAATGCCTCTACAAATGTTTTTAACAATTAAAAATAAAGTATTTTGACAAAAGCTTTTTCAAATGCCTCTACAAAGTATTTTTAACAATTATATTGAGTTTAATTCTACAAATTAAAAGATTAAATAATAATAAATTTAATTCTTTAAATTCAGATAGCTAGAAACTAAAATTATAGTTTCTCTGTTTTAAATAATTAAAATAAATATTTAAAAATAAAAATCAAAACTAGTATTATCTTAAATTTATTAAAAGTGTAATTAAATATCTATTTTCTTAATTTTATTTGTTTCAAACTTCTCAATTCTACATTTTTGTAAGTTCTATCATTATATTATCATCCTCATCTCCTCCCATGTTCTACTTTATCTTTACAATAGTCAATATTCTTAACTAATTTATAGTTTTAATTATAATTTTTTAGTATATATTTTAGAAATTAATCAATTCTAATCTATTAATTGAAAAACTAATCAATTCTAATCAATAATTTAGAAAACTAATCGATTATAATTAATTATTTGAAAAAATTATCAAATATGATCGATCATTTTGAATATATGATCGATCAGAATCGTATTTCGCTCGAGCGAGAGTCGTTTCGCTCAAGCGAGATACAACCCGAGAATGCTAATTTTGTGCAGGGGGCGTTTCGCTCGAGCGAGAACATTGTCGCTCAAGCGAAATTCTTTTTAGATAGCGGTTCCACAAGAACCGCTCTTAAAAGTGCACTTCTAATAGCGGTTCCCTTATAACCGCTATCTAAATTACACTTTAGATAGCGGTTACAAGGGAACCGCTATTATATCCTCTAATTATGATCGATCTTTTCAGTTTATGATCGATCAGAATCGTATTTCGCTCGAGCGAGAGTAGTGTCGCTCAAGCGAGATACAACCCGAGAATGATAATTTTGTGCAGGGGGCGTTTCGCTCGAGCGAGAATATTATCGCTCAAGCGAAATTCTTTTTAGATAGCGGTTCCAGAAGAACCGCTCTTAGAAGTTCACTTCTAATAGCGGTTATAAGGGAACCGCTATTATATCCTCTAATTATGATCGGTCATTTCAGGTTATGATCGATCAGAATCGTATTTCGCTCGAGCGAGAGTAGTGTCGCTCAAGCGAAATAGAACCCGAGAATGCTAATTTTGTAAAGAGGAGTTTCGCTCGAAGCGAGTATTGTCGCTCAAGCGACATTCATTTTTTTATAAAAGTAATTATTATTATTTTTTTCTTTTTTAGGTGTAAAAGTATAATTAAATCAAAGATAAATATATATACGTTTGCATTTTAATTTTCAAATATTAATTTTTTTATGAAATTAATTTTAATTAAAAAAATTAAAGTCATATATATATATATTATTTTTAATTTATTAATATTATCAAATTTTAGCTTAATAATTAAAAAAATTACCAATAATTTAAATTTTAATATATCTATAATTTTATATAATTATTAATATAAATTTAATTCTTCTAATAATATTAACACATTTATTAAATTAAAATTCTTTACTTTAATTAATTATTTTAAATTTTTTTAACGATTTTTTTTAAATAAAAACAATAAAACTTAAAATTAATTTCTAACTAAATCTTCACATATTTATGGTTAATACTATATTATATTATTATGTTTAATTAAATTTTAAAATAAGTTCACTTTATTTTTCCACTTTTATATAAAAATGACTAATATAAACTTAAAATCTATATCCAACTATTAAATTATCCAAGATATTAATATAAATTTAAAATATCAATTCAGTAATTAAAATAATTTTAATTTTTTATAAATACATTGAAATACATTTTTATTAACATACAAGTAATATATATATATATATATATATATATATATATATATATATATATATATATATAAAAGAGACTAAATTAATAATTAATTTAATTATTGATTTAGTGACCGATTCAATGATCGAATCGAGTGACCGATCTATGTGACTGATTCAAGTGACCGAATCAGATGACCGATTCGATGACTAATTTCATAATCAATTTTAATTTTTTTATTCACATGCTAAATTAAAAAATAAAATTAAATAATTATATTACTAAATTATTTAATAAGTTAGTAAACTATTTTTTAAAATTTTTTATAATGTTATTAACAATGTTATCACTTATTTTAAATTATTAAGTAGATTTATATTTAAAATATTTTAAATAAAATATTTATATAAATGAAAAATAGTTATCAATTTAAAAATTATTTTTTAGTGACTGAAAATTTAGTCACTAAATCGAGTTACTAAATATAAAAAAAAATTCGAGTCACTATTTTCGGTCACTATTAACATTTTTCTAGTAGTGATCGAATCGATGTGACCGATTCGATGGTCGAATCGATGATCGATATCTGTGACTAAAATTTTAGTCACTAAATCAGTCACTAAATATAAAAAGGGAAATCAGTCACTGATTCAGTTACTATCAGTGACTGAATTTTTCAGTCACTAATTTCGGTCACTATTTGGTGTTTTTCTAGTAGTGATTATTTGGTATTAGAGCCATGGTTATCTTGAATAAGGTGTTTTTCTTGTGCTAACTTTTATTGTCTTGTGTTATTACTCTTGGCGGACTCTCGGCCTTGGTTTGTTCAAACTTGGTGTTGCACATTTTTCCACTTCACTTCAAGGTTTAAGTATCTAAAACTCCATCTCCATATATTGGTGATCTTGTGAAGTTGTGAACATAATTTTTGTTGGTATTTTGCTTGGAAAATCGAGAGTTACTTGTAGTGTTACCATGTTAAAATTTTATCTCTCATGTTGAAAGAGTCTTTAAATGTGTTTAACTTTGATTTTGAGTCATATGTCATATGTTAACTAGTGGTTTTCTTGTTCTTGTTGTTCTAAAATATTTGAATCTTGCATGTTTACATGACTTATGGAGTGTATGTGCTTTGGAATTGATTTGTGACCAAAACTCAAGGAACTAATTGTTCAAGACACCTTGAAACCCTTTTCTATCTCCTTGGGAAACTTGTTTGCAAAAGAGAAAAAAAAAATTCCCCAAACTTTTAGCTAAAAACCGAGACCAAACTTGGAGCTTGGGGAAGTGAAATTGCATTTTTTTTCTAAGGTGTTATGCTCTCAAATTGAAAACTTGAATGTGGTGATATTGGCAAATTAGTTTCATAAAAACTATGTGGTTCTCATCTTCCTTGGCATGTGCATAATTGAAGTTGTTCAAAGGCATGATCAAATATTTTTCCGTAGAGTCTTTTAAAGTGCTTTTCTTGTGTTAGTCTTGCTAAAATTTTGTCTCAAAAATTTTCCTTCTTAGAGTTTTACTTTCTTGTTTTTGTGCTTTTCTTGCTTGTCTTAGGGTCCTTGTTTTGTCCTTGCTAGTTTTCTTTTCTTTGGCCTTCTAGTTGGTGAAAACCGTGACCTAAGTTGCTTGGTGAGAAAAGGTTTTGAAAATTTTGAAGTGATTTCCACCCTTTGAGAAGTGAGAGTGATAGCCTAGCCTTGTGTTGTTAGGAGTGTGCATCCAAACACTTGGGAAATTGCATTGGGGGGTGGAGATTGCCTCAGGTTTTAACTCATACTTGTGCTAACTCTTGTGTTTGTTTTCGGTTTGAGTAAATATGGACCTAGGTGGTGAAAATTTGTCTCCTATCTTGGAAGAAATAGAGGAAGAAGAGTCACATGAAGCCTATTCACCTCCCACCATCACTCCTCTTGCACAACAAGGAGACCTTAGTTTGATTCAACTTGTACAAAAACTAGAAGAGAGTAGAAGGGAGACCATTGCACAACTAAGGGAAGATAAAAGGCAAAGTGAGATGATGCTTAAAGAACACATCTAAAGGCTTGAACTAAGGGAGGAAGATAGGAGGAGGAGGAGGTCATCTTCAAGAGACACTTATGAGGATTATGGAGGAAGGAGGAGGCGCCATTCCCCTCTAAGGAGACAACCACCACCAATCAAGATTCCAAAGTTCAAAGGAGAAGAATATCCCAACATCTACTTGGAGTGGGAGCAAAAAGTGGACCAAATTTTTACCATTCATGTAATTAGGGAACAAGAGCAAGTAGAATTCGTAGTCTTAGAATTTGAGGATTATGCCTGTAGACCCCAAATCTTGCCCGGCTTCCAAATAAAGTCAGAAAGCTTCCTATTTGAAGACGGCCGAAGCCTAACAAGCCACTAGGAGAGACTATTAGGCTCCCGTACTAAGATAGGAAGGTTTTTTGGCCCGAAAAATAAAGTTTCTCGCCCTGAAAGGATGAGACCGCCGTCTGGAAGGACGAGACCGCCGTCTCGTCTCAACGCCAGGATGAGACCGCCGTCTCGATTGTCCAGACGGCGGTCTCGATTCCTGCAAAAGTCGAGACGACGGTCTGGGTTTCCCAAACGGCGGTCTCGTTTTCTGCCCAGTCGAGACGGCGGTCTGGATTATCCAGACGGCGATCTCGACCCTCTACCACGAACGAGACGGCGGTCTGGACTTTCCAGACGGCGGTCTCAACCCTGTCAGAGGAAACGACGGTCTCGACCTGTCAGGTGCGAAAAACTATAAATAGGGGCTCCATTTCCCCTTTTTCCACACAGAAACACACACCTCAAGCTAAAAAAGCTCTCCCTTCTCTCTAAAATCTCTCTCTAGAATCTCTCCGACGCAATTTCCGGAGTTTCTGAGTGTCTAAGAGTGTTTTTTTTCGGCGTTCGAGAAGTATTCCGGCGTCTTGTAGAGTGAAGGGCTGCCAAAAAGCGCCTATATTTTTTTAATATCAATACAAAAAGAGCTTGCTTCGGAGGTGCAATTTCTATCTATTTACTTTTATTGCTTTCAATTATAAATGTTGCAATAGAAATTAGGGCCATGTAGTCATACTTTTAACTTCCGCACAATAAAAAGGGCAAAAGCATGTTTTTCTAGTTCATTTACCAATAAATAAAGCTGGCCTGTCATAGGGAACCCGAAAGGGGCGTCGTAAAAGGGCTAATACCCCTTTTACACGTAACTAACTCCCTTACCCAACTCTGGTTTTAACAGGACCAAAGTTGGTTTTTCGAAAACCAACGCCTTTTTTACCCCTTTTCCGATGTTTCCTGTAAAAACATCGGTGGCGACTCCATAGAACCCATAAAAATAAGTCTTTAGGGTTAGCCCGGTTATCGGACAACCCAAAGACGCCTTTTTGAAAACCTCGTTTTTAAGTTAGCCCGGTTAACGGACAACTAAAAGTGTTGTAACCAATAAAAAACGCGATTACGAAAGAAATAAGAGTCGGGAAACCATCACGTCGCTCCGACCGCCATTATCCTTTTTGGAGAGCGGCGACAGATGGCGACTCCACTGGGGAAGCCTAGAGAGTTGATCCCATTTAGTGATGGGCCAGCTTAAAATAAATAAATGAACCAAGGAAAAAAGCTTTTGCCCTTACTTGTTTTATAACATGCTTTATTGAATGGCTTTAATAACTGTTGTTTGTTTATTATGCAATTGTTTGAAATAAAAACTGCAGACAAACCCTTTGCACACAACAGTTCCCTCTATACCCGGGGGCAAGTGAGAAACCCATAGGGAGCGGGTGGCAGGTACGGTTCGCTGCGTGAGGGCCTTGCGCCCACCAGTGTGATCGGAAACCACCACTCAAGGTGATAACCTTCCTCCTTTGGCAATAAGACCGACTATGGCCCTAGTGCTAAGCATGGTCGGACGGCTGGGGAGTCGGGGACCCTATAATGGGGGCACCTTGGGGGCCTTTAGCCTGGTGAGAACAGTTAGAACCTAGCCTAGCCAATGCACTTTTTTGCAGGAAAACCCTACCTCGTGATATAAACGAAAGCTCGCTGGTTCGGGGATGTTCGAATTGTGTGTGCATATGTTTGATGCATTTGGTTGTTGCATTGCATAAACAAACAACAAAACCACAAAAAATATTTTTCCCAAATAAACACCCTTATCTCGGACAGTCTGCCTTTTAGCTAGCCTGGTTTCAGGTTCTTTGTAAGCTAAGTAGCCACGCAGTTCCGACAGAAGAGATAAGGGACGTTAAACATTTTTTCGCATAAAGCCATATTTTATCTCGGACAGTCTGCCTTTTAGCTAGCCTGGTTTCAGGTTCTTTGCAAGCTAAGTAGCCACGCAGTTCCGACAGAAGAGATAAAAGGCTATGAAATAAAAACTAATAAAAATAAATCCAAAATAAACGAAATAAAAGCCAATGAAAACCAGAAAATAAATCAATTTCTGATAAAGTCAAAATTCTTCATGTCACATCATATCATGAGTAAAGAAAAACCAAAGAGAGAAAATAAAAAGCGAGAACGCATATAGCATCATTCAAATAAAATTTTGCATACATGCACTCATTTTTAAGCACTCAACATGCATTAATAAACCTTTTTCGGGCATTCTAGAAAGTGGCTGGTCCTCTTCCGATCCGAACTCGTGCGCAAAAAGCAAGGGTAATGGAAAATCTAGAGGAGCAAAACCGGAAGCTCACCACGGAGGTCAATACCCTCCGCGAACAAGTAGCCCAGCTAATGGAGGTCGTACGCCAGGGGCAAAGCAAGGGCGAAGACCAAGCTGAACATGTCCCTCCTCATGAGGAGGAGGAGGAAGAATACTTTTTTGGCGGTAAGGATGCTAGAACTGCACGCATCCTTACTCCAGAAGTATCCAAACAACAACTTTCCGCCCTAGAGGATAGGCTGAAGGCGGTCGAAGGGCATAACTTCGACGTTAAGGAGGTGGCTGACATGTGCCTCGTAAAGGACATCCGCTTCCCTCCCAAATTCAAGGTCCCGGACTTCCCAAAGTACGTCGGGCTGACTTGCCCCAAGAACCATCTTACGATGTACTGTCGTAAGATGGCTGCCTATGCTGACAACGAGAAACTCTTGATTCACTGCTTTCAGGAGAGCCTGGCAGACACAACGCTTAACTGGTATATGCAGTTGGAGAGAGGGCAGGTCCAGAACTGGAAACAGCTGGCTGATGCTTTCCTTCGTCGCTATCGGTACAACATTGATCTGACCCCCGATAGGTCAGATCTCAGATCCCTGAGCAAGAGGAACGACGAATCCTTCAAAGCATATGCCCAGAGATGGAGGGAATTGGTGGCCCAAATAGAGCCTCCTTTGACAGACAAGGAGACAGTGGCTATGTTTATCGACTCACTGACTGGAGCGTACTACGACAAGGCTATAGCCAGTACCTCCAACCTTTTCTCAGACATAGTCATTGTGGGGGAAAGGGTAGAACAAGGTCTAAGGAGCGGGAAGATAGCACAATCTTCCCAAACTGCGCCCTCATTCAAGAAGCCTACCGGCAAGAAGAAGGACGAGTCTGTGCATGCAATCAACTTCGCCACTCCTTCTTCTTCCCCATCAACGGCTAGGCAGCCTCGCAAGAAGGAAAGGAAGTTCACTCCCATCACCACTTCCTATGGACTGCTGCTACCCCAGCTGTTGGAGGCTAAACTCCTGACCTGTGCGCCTCCCAAGAAACCATTGGAGCCTCCCTATCCTGAATGGTACAAGCCGAACGAGAAATGCGCTTACCATTCAGGGGCACCCGGACACTCTACAGAGAATTGCTTGACCCTTAAATATCGGGTTCAAGAGTTAATCGACGCCAGGTGGATAACTTTCGACGCCTCTGCTTCTGCCGCCGACGCCAAACCTCTATCCCCGCCAGAGTAGCAAAGAAGGAGGACGGGGAGGATCAACCCCTAGTTTTTTTTAAGCTTTTCTCTGTACTTCCTGCGGTCCCCGCCCGTGGCCGCAGGAATCTTTGATTAAAAGGGCTTGTACATACATTTTCATCTTTCATTAATACATGAGGCATTTTTTTGTCATATTCATTCTTTTCTCTCTTCTATTTATTATTCTTTCAAAAGTAAACTGAATAATACAATCTATGACTAAAAACAGAACCTAAAACACATCATGTCTGTAATTGATGAATCTCTGTGGACCCCGAAAACGGAAAGCGAATGGGTCGAGTCCGACAGTGAGCAGGAGACCATTTCTCCGGACATGCAGAGAATGCTAGAAAAGGAAACACGCATCATACGACCACATAAGGAAGAAATAGAAACAGTCAATTTGGGAAAAGAGGATGAGGAGAAAAAGGTGAACATTGGCACCCAAATGGAGAGCAGTATAAAGGAGGGATTGGTCCAACTCCTGAAAGAGTATATAGATGTGTTTGCTTGGTCTTATCACGACATGCCTGGGCTCGACACGAGTATAGTGGAGCATAGGTTGCCACTAAAAGAGGGGTTCCGGCCAGTAAAGCAGAAGCTTAGAAGAATTAAGCCTGACTGGTCTTTAATGATAAAGGAGGAGGTACAAAGGCAACTGGATGCTAATTTCCTTGTGGTCTCCAAATACCCAGAATGGTTAGCCAACATAGTGCCCGTCATGAAAAAGACCGGGAAGGTCAGGGTTTGCGTGGACTATAGGGACCTTAATCGAGCAAGTCCTAAGGACGATTTTCCCCTACCACATATAGACACGCTGGTAGACCTTACTGCTACCAATACGCTTTATTCCTTTATGGATGGGTATGCGGGGTACAACCAGATCAAGTTGGCTGTCGAGGATAGAGAAAAAACCTCCTTCATCACACCATGGGGCACCTTTTGTTATCGTGTGATGCCATTTGGGCTAAAAAACGCAGGGGCAACCTATCAAAGGGCTATGGTTACACTTTTTCATGACATGATCCACAAAGAAATAGAAGTATACGTGGATGACATGATAGCCAAGTCCAGAAATGAAATGGACCACATTCTTTACCTCAGAAAACTTTTCGATCGGCTCCGAAAGTATCAACTCAAGTTAAACCCG